ACGGGGGAAAAGCAGAGAAGTGCACATAATCAGTTACATGATGTACAAAAGCAAAACTTGCAAAAGGAATGAGCAACTCATTTTTGATGTGCAGAAGTGACACAGTAATTTGAAGATTGAACAGGTAGTTTTAAGAATTTCAATTCTGTTCTCAGAAATGCACCCAAACTGAGAAAAACTGTCAAATATTAATATTTAAATGCTCTTATCTTAAAACCCTTCAACTGTCATGGACCCAGTGACTTTAGTGCAAGTATTTTGGGGGTGAGAGTCAAGAGGTCAAAGGAAAATATTAAATATTAGCTCTGATGCCAAGCTTTATACTTCCAAGTATTACCAAAGTATTGAAACAAAAGCTAAGGTGTTCTTCACAGATTTAACTTGCATGCATGAACATTTCACACTCAAAGTAATTCAAATTACTGATCCAAACTTGGAAAAGTTGCTTTTGCCATTAACAATAACTGTAATGGATAGAGAACTATTTACATTAAGTTGTCTAAATTATTCAAATTTGTATATTATTTATTGTAAATTATTTAAAGGATGTTGCAGGTTGTTTAATGATATTTGTCTGTTTTGATTACCACTGTTCATTGTTCAATGTTTATAATTTATCATTTCCCCCTTTTGTTTTCTTATGTAAATAGAAAACAAACAAAGTATTGTTCAGAGACTCTTTTTTTGTACATATGTCTAAAATGTCCAACTGAAACTGTACTGCAAAGGCCAAAAGTTTTATTATTTTAAAGAGTTCAGATCAGAATTTGGATTGCTTTCCTAAAAAGCAGTGTCAATGTTCTGTGTGAACCGACAAAAGACAAATTGATCAATTTAGGCAGAGGAGCAAAAAATGTAGACAAAGATTATGCAGTACTGTAAGATGTCTTTGCGTTTCAAATCAAATATTTTGTTGGACTTGAATTTATGTATCAATTCAATCAAAATTTAAGGCACACAAATGTTGTGAGCCAGTTGTTGTCCAATCAGTTTGTTTTTACATAATCAATTATTATCATATCCACTTTAAAAGTTTCATCATGTCCAATTTGTGCCTTTCTACCAAGACACGCATGTGTTTCGAAATCAAGAGTTAGTTCCGTTAGTAA